CGCTTCAAGAACCTCGATCTTAGCGTCTTCTTTACTCGAAGCTCTCACAACATCACAAGATTTAGTACAAAGTCTTTGTCAATGGTGCTCAATCTAATAGCTCCATCTTGAATGGGACCCCGGATTCTAAGAATTTGCCGGGCCGTATTGCTATCATGACAAAGTTATAACATTTAGTAGCCCTTAGTAAAAGCTAAGATCAGGGAATGTAGTAAATGACATATAAAGGCTAATATCCCAACCTGTAGGGCTATCCATTTGAAACTGGCCCCTACTGTTATCGGGGAGTCTTGCATCTACTAAATGAGGTACATAAATCCTGCGGAGTAAGGGACTAAGCGGGAACAAGTTCTTGACAACGGTACAGCAGCCTTAGCTTCCAGCTATCCTCGAGGCTACTGCCCATTCGCATCGATTCGCTCATGCATACAGCCCTAACTGGTAGAAGTTCCCCCTTTGAGAGGAGAGAAAAAAAATGTGTTTAGTATGGTAACCTAAGCTTCACCTTGTCGTTACCTAATAAATTGAAGAAGATTTATCCACCTAAACATCAAAGTTCGCCTGGTATCCGAATAGAGATCTGCATCTTTCAACTTCAAATCTAGTATGCCTTATTCTCTTTAACTAACGCAAAATGAGACGGTTATTTTACATCGTCTACACCCGTCCTCAGCCGGCAAAGACGAATTCTTCACCTTCCAGTGGTGCCGGTATAATCGCCAAGTATGCTCTGCATATCTGGGATAGCCAAGGCGAATCACACCCGAATCGAAGTCGAAAGCAGACACATCCATATCTCCATTTGACGACTTCTCAATCATGCAGCACCAACCACTATCTTCTGTGTCCTCAACCTCTTTCTAACCACATATCATCACGCCTCAAAGACCGATAAAGGCGTCACCCCAATTGCAAACAGGAGCTTGCCTTAATCATTACCGGTCATTACTCACTACAAATTTACGACGCTACGTATACCCGCAAAGAGGAAATTAAGTCATGATATACAAAGTTGGGGCCTTGGTTCATGGGGGACTAATACTCTATTGGGGTTATACATCTTGAGGAAGGGCAGGCGGCTGAGATGTGGAACGATAGGGGTAACAGGCCTCTGAAGATCATGCTGGGACTGATATTTTCGAGGGGTTTCAACTTTGGATTTTTAGTGGGCGCCAACATCAGGATTTCGGCTAATTAGCCACGAGGACTTCAATTTTCGATGAGTCAACGGCACTCCCCAGCGCCCTGGACGGTACAAAAGAAGTTATGATAAGCTATCATATAGCAATCACACTCTGTCAAAAATTTTCTGATATTTCGCCACGACCTTCGGGAAGGAGCTGGAAGGAGGCTAGAAAGGCAGAGTGTGAATTTCCCGAGGTGCACATAAATCTGAAGCGCCCAGCTGGCCGGCCTCTTCGAACGCTTCAGAAGGGGCACTATGTCTTCGGATCTAGTCCTAATGTCGTTATTAGAAGAGCCTTGCACCCAGTGGTTTTTGCGACTTTTCCCGGCTGCCATACACCCGCAAATGGCCATCGTTTCGTTAGCTGGAGAGGGGAGATAATGAAGGGCAAAGGGCTCCTCTTAGTGTATGATCGAATGAGGACTTGTGAGGGGCGTTTCTATTTGAGGGGAGCTGTATGGGAGGCATAGGAGGGGATATACTACTGGCAAAGGTATCCTTGGCCTGTAGGCAGAGAGGACCTGCATGTCCTACATAGTCATAGACTCAGATAGGACAATAAAACGAATTAATAATTCTTATAAAATGAGGTCATCTAGGGGCTCAATACTGACTCTGCTACTCATATGTAAGTGGAGTATGGTCTATAAATATTGTGCTTATAGATAATTGATTGTAGATACTAGTAAAGATGCTTCGCACTTTATAATATGCTAGAGGATAGAAAGATAACTAGACAGAAGACGGTTGTGTGCACTCGACTCAATATACTGCGGACCACACCTAAATTACTCTCCTATGACCCTTGCAGGTTCACAACATACTCATCCCACCAATCATAGCGCGGCTATTCCTGTATGTGCAGCAGTCTACATTAACATCCTTACTAAGCGCCATAGTATAAAGTTTATGCAGGTATGCATAATCAATTCTGTGCTATTCCTGGATCACATCAATAATACACCCGTCCTTACAGCTATTATGATCACTCGCTTGACACAATTGCATCCTTTCCCGGTTTGGTTTCAGGTTTAGTCTCAATAATTCGAGTGACTTCCACCTTGGATGAGGTAATGTGATGGTGAAACACAAGCTATTTTATTTCCCAGACGTAATAGTTGCTAATGTACCAGCAGCCTAGATGGTACATGTGCCTCGAAAAACACTGAAGCAAAAAGCTGATTGAATACGTATAACTATTGGAGACGCCGGGACCTGCAAAGAGGAAGTCTTTAATCTTGTGGGGATATCACTAAAGGCTTATTGCATTATCTGCATGAAAGGGCATAAAAACTTACTCTCCTGGCTAATCTCACTTCTCTAGATTGGTACGGCCAGAATCTTGTGTTATTTGGACGGAAAGCCTGATAGCGAATTATTTAGATCGAGTTGATTAGATTAGGTATCTTGGCTGCGTCTTTTCTCTTCCAATAGGCCTGTAATAATTAATTCATGTTAAATACTACCTTGCAGCCCTTACCGACTCAAGCATGGTGGGAGCTCCACTAGGAAGAGTCTGCTGAGATTCGGTGGAAGATTATATCACGCGCCTTCTAGTGCAACCCACCAGGTAGAGACAACTCGAGGTATTTGAGCTCTTGATAAGTGGATAGATAAATAAGAGAAGACAGTGGGTCTGGAAAGTGCGGGCCATGCCACCTTTACGGGATCTTTTGAAAATTTTGGTGCGAATTCAGACCCTCTCCTGATACTTCGTGGGGAGAATTTTCGTCATAGAGCAGTCGCAGCTCGGGCGACCAAGCGCCGTGACCTTCGGCTTTTGCCCTTGTGTTCCCTCTGTGCTTGAGCTAGAAGGTCCGATCACCATATATTCATTCCCCAAAAGCTATTACTCGTCTGGCTACCCTGTTACATGGATTCATTCATTCCAGGGCGGATGGTAATTTTGAGTCGCGGTGGGATGGGCATAAAGGTTTGAGAAGATGTAGGGGTCGTGAGAGGTAAATACTTGCACCAAGATGCTCTGACATGATGATCTTTTTGTCTAACCTCTTTTGCTTGTTGATCGCATCGAGTTCACGTCAATCTTTGTTGCTGTCGCTGTGGCGGAAACAAGACTGTCGGTGTCTGCAAAAGTTGAAGCGGCATCTTCTGGCAGTACCGGGCCGCTAGGAAACATTCAAGATGCAGTATACATGGTCAAATAATTGATAGACTTGCGACGCTGGGAAGCTTCCGCCCAGTCAACAAAGCTGGGAGCAAACAGCGTTTGCGTATTAATTGTTGGTCTCCTGCGAACATATTCCGAGCGAGAACAGGTGTCCCTAGGATAGACGGGTGTAGAGAGTGGCCCCGTGACGCGTTTGGCGAGATAAAATATGCGGAAAGCGAGTTTTGAATCAAGAGGTTTTGCGCTTGACTCGTGAAGCGGGATAAAGTCAGGAGAATGGCGATTGCATCTTCATCTAGCCTGCGAAGCTTCATTTATTTTCCTTGAGCCTGAGGCACAGATAGGCTTTAACTTCGCCAAGGTTTGGCCGTGGTGTTTAGTCGGTTATCGAGTCTCCGACGACTTCACTAAATTTGCTGTCACGTTGATGGCGACCGTCTAAGCTCAGTCTGCCTGCTGATCATTGCACATTTAATCATTTGCCGTATGACAAAGTATCATCTCCCCTTGGTGAATAAGACACTATTACAGCGAATTGTGTAAATCGGCTGTGCGCACTGCTACTACTAAATTATTGGAGATTCTTTTCAAATTGCTTCAAGTATCCTCCAAAACATACTTCAGATGGACCAGTGACTTCACAAACGAGGATTCAGGCAGGAGCTAGAGCAGGACAAAGTGGGTCGTCTAGGGGCCAGTGGAAGAGAATTCTACCTGACGCTGTAAATGCCATCCAATGCCTTCCCACGCACGTGTCTCACATAAACTACAATTTCTCAAGCAGAAGCTCCGTCAGTGCCTAAACATTTACACCCTCACTTCTTATCTCGAAGCACACTGAAAGATATTCGCCTGCTGACGCAGCTGTCTGCGAACTTCAAGCACTATTGCTACCTGGCTTTTCCTACTCGCTGGAGCTGTAGCAGTCAAACCCTAAACATCCACCCAGGCTTCCACCTAGATTAAATCCCTCACTACACGTATTTATATTAGTGCAGTGGTAAATTTCATCTAACTACTCCCACTCTATGCTCCTGCATCTAAACTTACTATATACTTCAATATCGATTTTTAAATCCCAAGGTCCCCTATATCTTAAAAGGGCTAGCCTATTTCTCCCCTTGGCCTCCAGCTGACAACAAGTGATTTACATAGCTGAACTTTACATCCGCAAAGGTCTTCCAAACGGCCTCAAAGCATCTATTGAGTGCTTCGAAGACCTTGTCTGTTTCATCCTTCATCAAATATACGGTCCTCATTCTCTGCCCCCTAAGCCAACTCCGCCTCGCCCCACCCCCCTGGATCACGCACCACAAATTTTCATCAAGGGTGGTGACGGCTTCTGCTTCTTGCCATCCATCGCTCGCTGCTACTTTACCAATCTGCGACGTCAAAGCCCATAAACTAGCTGTTACGCATCAACATCATCCATATCACACACTACTAATTGCACAAGAAGCGGTTAGAAACATTCAGAAGGCTAACAGCAAGCATCTAGTCTTCTCGACTATTGCGTCACTCTTTACTCATCGAATTGTCCACTGCCAAGCCTTTGTAGGAATTTGACAACGGTCCAGCTTAGACGTACGGGCATTGCCCGCACCGTCCCCATCTTGGCTTCTCTGCCAACTCCATCTGTCACTCCTGCTCCGGCCTCCTTTTCAGGTTTTCACGACGTGAAATATGGCCAGCGCCAGCAGCTCGCGCGAATCATCTAATAGTGTGCACCAATCTCAAAAGTCATCCAGCACCTCGCAGGCGTCATCTATTGCTGAAGCTCGACATATCCGTTCAAATTCTCCTAGCCAGCTCGGCGCCTGCAGCATCGAAATTCCCACTGGAAATGGTCTCATTACGCCGCCTTCTGAGCCCTATGTTAAAACACCGAGAGCCTCGTCGCCATATAATTGGGCGGAAAAGCCTTCCATGACAAAACGTATTACGCGCATGTTCACTAAAGATCCGGTTAGAACAGACATGAGTCTTCATACGCCTACAATTGCCGCTTGCCAGGCATCGGGACGGTCTGACTTAGCATCACCGTTCAACCTCTCGTCAAAATCACCCTCGCGCAAGACATCTGTACTCGAGACCCCGAGCCGAAGTGAACATCAAGAAAAATCTTCGCCGTCAATGCTACGGGAAAAAAGGGCACCGTCTTCAATGCACCAAAGGTTCGTGACTAACTCGGATGTCACTGGTGGCCATCAACATCATCTCAAAAGCGCCAAGAGGCAGGAGAAATTAATGGATATTCTGCGTAGCGTTATAAGTTGCAAGACAAGAATTGAGCCGACGCAAGAAGGTGAGCAGCAACTATCATTAATGTCGAATTGGGTAGATCAACTTAAAAGCGAGCGAGAGGCGATGACATCAGAAAAAAAGGGTGGGATAAATACCGCAACTACGCTAGTCGAGAAGTATGGAAAGTGTCAAGAAATCGTCGGACGTGGGGCTTTTGGAATCGTTAGAATATCCCACAAGCGCACCGAAGGGTTAGGTGAACAACTCTATGCGGTCAAAGAATTTCGTCGGAGACCTGATGAGACGGAGAAGAAGTACAGTAAGAGGTTAACATCTGAGTTTTGTATATCATCGTCTTTGCGTCACCCCAACGTAATTCATACGCTCGATTTACTCCAGGATTCAAAGGGGGACTATTGTGAGGTGATGGAATTTTGTGCCGGCGGTGACTTATATACGCTCGTGCTTTCAGCTGGGCGACTTGAAATGGCTGAAGCAGACTGCTACTTCAAGCAAATGATGCGCGGCGTCGAATATATGCACGAGATGGGGGTAGCACATCGAGATCTGAAGCCTGAGAATCTTCTTCTAACGACACATGGATCTCTAAAAATAACTGACTTTGGTAACGGTGAATGCTTTCGCATGGCTTGGGAATCAGATGCTCATATGGTGACCGGACTTTGTGGATCCGCACCATATATAGCGCCAGAAGAGTATACTGACAAAGAGTTCGATGCGCGTGCTGTCGATGTATGGGCAACAGGCGTTATTTATATGGCAATGCGAACTGGCAGACATCTCTGGCGAGTGGCAAAGAAAGATGAAGACGAGTTTTATGAGCGATACCTCCAGGGTCGTCGTGATGAAGAAGGTTATGCGCCCATTGAATCATTGCACAAGGTAAGCGTGTAGAAAAATTAAAGCTCGTGGCTAATTCAAAGTCTAGGCTCGGTGCCGCAATGTCATTTACTCTATTCTCGATCCTAACCCTGCACGCCGAATCACTGCAAGTCAAGTATTAAAGTCCGAATGGGGTCGCGAAATCCAGCTCTGCAAGGCCGGGGAAGAAGGATTATAGTCTTCTATATACCAATAATGCTCAGGAGTTTAAACGGAAATCAAGCCGCTAGAAGAATTTTAATATTAAACACTACGTTATATACGGATAGTTGATCTAATCGGCTTGAACCTTTGCGAGCGCGATAATCTTGTTCAATTCGGATGGGATTTAGCGGCAAAGTTACACGTTAACAAACATGCACATCCTACGCTTGGGAAAGATGGGATATTTTTAAGAAGGCACGCAAACGAATGTGATTGTTCGTTTGGACACAAGAATTTTACGCTGTGCCATAACAGAGCTGTATGTGGGTTCGTGGGTGGCGTCAAAGCTTGGCGCATGGGTAGTTTGAGCGTTCGGTCCTCTGTGTGGTTGATTTCTCTCTCGTGACTTATCTAGCTGGCGCACGGCACGGGTACTTTCGGGCAATAAGGGGGTGCAATGGGAGAGGTAGGGATATATGTATAGTTAGCTTGAAAACTCATAGTATTGGGGAAAGGAGAGATATAAAGCTACAGCACAAATGTCATCCAAATCTCCTGACCGTAAGAGAGATAACACTACAATTCATAGTGGACCTAACCCACCAGCCTGATATGAATAATCAGGTTTTGGTCGAGCCAAAAGTGCGGTTTCAAAGATTCTCAGGACATGGAAATATTTGCGAAGGTAACATGGTAAAAAGACAGTAGGCTTAGCTGGCGGGCCGAAGGAAATCCAAGAACATCTACCGCTGGTAATATGAATCTTAAATCATAATACCCGTAGACCGCAGCAACTGACTGCGGAGGGAGCGATTCTGCTTCAAGATGGGGAAGGGCTTGCTTACCAGGATTGCAGTCATCTCTGCAAGCTTGAGTTTTATCTTTGGTTAATGTGGTGGCCGATGTCATGCTGGTAAAGGTTATGGTTTCCCCGCCTGTCGCAGGACGGCCCGCCGGCTGAAGGCGAAGATGGCAGCAAACAGATGATCAGCCGGCTTACCTGCGCCATGATATCATGAGGTCGGGATGGGTCCACGAGATGGGTAGGCTAGTCTTACGACAAGCTGCAGCCATTCGGATCGGAATAGAAGGCTTAGAAACGAACATTCCAACTGCACAGCTCCATCCGTCTTGGCGACAGTGCCTAGTGAGACTGCGCGCGATGGATAATCCCGGAGCTGACCGTTACACATCTCTCATCATGCACGGTCCTGGAGCCACAGACTTGGGTCGGGTCGGGTTTCAGCCGGGCCGTCTGAGTTTCTCGCCTAAGCTATTTGTAGCGAATCAGGAACTTCTCCGATGAGAGCCCCTAGTCCAGAGGAGGCTTGGCCGCATTCGGGACGCTTTAAATGGTTCGGCGCACGCCCAGCTCGCCCGGTCGCACCAGCGCAACTTCATGCACTTATCCTCCATCCATAGTCTGAACTGTAGATGCCTCGCACCATGACGCCTGACTGTCGGCGGTAGCATAAGCCGTTTTCGTCGGGCGGAGAGTAGGGGCCAAGAATGACGTGGGCCACTTTCCTGTGTGCCTGGAAGCTGCGGCCTCGTCGTGATGTGTAGGTGAAGGACGCTAACTCTGCATATATGGCCGGCGCGTATAAGATGGCGCCGGTTCCGAAATGGGACGGGCTTGGGCAGAGCTAGGTTTAGTGAAGCGGGTCCGAAGCAAGTGGGTATCTCGATACTGGCATCGAGGATGGCCACGATGAGGCATAATAGGACACCTAAAATTAGGAATATTGAACGCGCCGCAATCGAGATCAAGCTTAGCTGGCAGAGCCATGAGGACGCGTTGGCGCGAGGCAGGGCTTACCGGTCTCTTTCCGGATGCTTTAACGTTTGTCGAGCTGGATAGTGGTAGCCTATTGAGCATGACTCCTATCACTCAGATTGAATAGCGTGTCTGCCAGCCATGCCATCTAGCCTCACTCGTATCGAGCCCATGAAGATGATAAGGTCAGGGGCCGCAAAATGGAATTGCTGCATGACTTGAATTCTCCAGTATGGTGCAACGTCCCACAACCTCCGTACTCAAGTTTTCAAAAACTATTGTGGGTGACTTGCGCCCTGAATCCTTTCCTCTTGAGTGAGACATCTATCAACTTTAATTCAAGAGTTTAGCTTGCAGTGCCCAGACAAGCCTCTCTTCATCCTTCATGAGGCTGACTCGTCAGTCTCGTCCACATGATTTGCTTCATCGTGGCCCTAATCTTTTTCCTTTCTCTGGGTATCACTAGGATTGATGCACTATCACCACACGGGCAGATCACCACAACCTAGCCAAAGTCTAACCAGCTAACAGTAATTCGTTTGCTTGCCGCAGATAACCTCACGATAGAGCAAGTACATCAAGCATTTGGGCGTTTGGAAAGCATGTTGCATGGCCCAGAATAAAGCATGGCCTATTCAACGGCCTCCCAATCTTTGTTCCGAAGAAAGCTCCACGATGAAAATTGGCTCGAAGCCGGCAAAAATATTCATCAGTCTAATCGATAGGCTGAAAAGCAATATTTATTGGCTGTAGTATAGTGACGGTAGCGGCAAAATAGGTTTGCAGCGGAGATTCAGCCGAAATTTGATTCGCAGTTAGTGTCGATTTACCACTTTGTATGTGCAAAAACTCTTACAAAACCAACAAAGGTCTGCGTCTACTAATAGAATTAATATATGGTCACGCTTCCAATCTCATCAGTATTTAGCCTCTAATCGGCCCCACAGGTACCACCGCGACGTTCTGAACGTCCGCAGGGACCCATGTGGCAGCACGCAAACCTAGCATTGGAGGCCTCTGGTAACTTGATAAGGTTGAGAGAGATGAATCCATGAAAATTGGTCCAAGATAACTGGGGTCTAACGAGTATAGACTCTCAGAAGGGGGTTTCAAATTCAAGCAGCGCGCTGCGAGTCAAGACGTCGCGCGTGGAAGTACAGCCGACCCTGCAGAGACGGAAAAACACAGAACTGCAAACCGCCGTCCAAACTCATCTTCTCAACTGTGGGGTCCTACTAGTTTAAATATTAACCCCACGTTAGATGTTACATCGTCCAATTCAATTTCCCTGGGGTAGTGTTGGACAGAATGATCAGCCTACGTTAAAGCTAAGGTAAGCACAAAGTAAAATTTCCCTGTGGAGACCATCTACGGCTAAATGGTGCAACGGTAGCACTTGCCTGTCGGTCCTCGAATGGTATTAGTAATAGTCTGATCGACTGCTTCCTACAAAGTAGAAGGTAGGTGGCTCGGGGCCCACAGGGACTAGCCATCGACGTCTTACTAATTATTATAAACAGGAAGCCTGGGGTGTTTGAAAGTTGTAAGGGGTTCGATTGGTCCCTGTGATGGGCTTAGACAGCATAGGAGGGAATAAGTTCCTACGGACAGGTCTAGGAAGAGATATCGGCAAATGCAACTTGCGACATGCCCATGAATTATCATGAAACACCTCATCAATCACGAAAGCAGCCATGTAGGCCAAACTTACAATTAATAGCGCACGCATGTCACGTTAAATACTTTAATGGAAATGAAATGTCATCACCCACAGCAATCAGTTAACGAAGGACTTGGCCTTAGCTCTTATTATGCTTGGTAAGATCCAAGGGCCGACAGGCTTTGAGTAGCCTGGCGCGAATCACTGGGCAGTTAAAGGTCTTTCAGTATGCTGCAAAATGTCATCTATTGAGTAAGTATTTGCTACTGCAGCTAGATCATCAGTTCACGCAAACCCTTAATAAAAATTTCCACCAAGTGTCAAGCTCGAGGTGCAATCTATATCGTGGCAGGCTCAGTGGTGACTAGATTCGCGCATTGGACCCAATGAGAGATTCGTAAAATTGTGAAATGGCACTGCACCAATCTATACTCTCGGGCCAAGTCACTGATCGGCTTGACATTATGATTTAGGCGCACATGATGACCGGAGGAAATGCTAAAATTTACGAGATTATTATTTCACTTTATTGTCCTGTTTGAGTCTATGACTATGTAGAACATGCAGGAAATTTACGAGATAATTGGCCATAAAAAAATACGCCGAATTCGGCCCACTATGCGAGGTTTCAACGACCACTTTGCATAGCCTACTGCATGCACTCGGGTTAATTGGATGAACTCGCGTGAGCGATCCCCTGGAGTTCGTATTGAGCTTCGGTTAAGTTCATGATGACAATTACTGAATCCCGTGGCATATGAGCCCGCCAAGGTTCTTCTCATCCGACGAACCGATTCCCGCAATCCAAGTTACTCAACCCTCGGCTATTTCGTTAGTGCTGTACTCCGTGCACCTGTATAGACAGCTATTGACAATCACCGCTCGACTACTAAGCAACGAACGTTACAAGCCCTCACCTAAGAAATTTTTCCATTCTCAACCTCTCCCTCCGAACACTAGCTATCTACATCACGTGCCATATACAACGAGCTGATCAAACTAGCCAAGGAATCTTCAAAATAATTTAAAACTAAACATCTCGCGCGAACGCGCGCTTGGGACGCAAGAGCTTTAGACCAAGATTGTGAGGCTATTCGCGTAACAATGGGACCTCCTCGCCCTATGATGACTCCTAACAGGAGGCCAAATCCAATAAGAGATAGAAAACCAATAGTTCCTCCACAAAATTCGCTCCAGCGTCAAGCGGTCATGACTGCCGCCAAGAAAGCGGGAGGCAGACCTCCGAAGTCTACCTGCAAGAATCCAGACTGCACGACCCCAGATGTTATCGAAGGTATCTGTCATAGTTGTGGTCTAGTGATGGATGATTCCAATATCGTGTCTGAGATAACATTCGGCGAATCCTCCAGCGGTGCGGCCGTTGTTCACGGTAGCTTTGTAGGTGAAGATCAAGGAGCCGCACGTAGTATGGGAACTGCATTCAGACGCGCCGGTGGATCAGAAAATCGTGAGAATACGATCAACGAAGGTGAGACTAAATCATAAGATAGAAAGCGTCTCCTAACCTGCACAGGACGCAGAATTATCGACGGATTGGGCCACCAGCTTGGCGTGGTTGAATTTACAAGAACAGTTGGTCTACAAATCTTCAAGCTAGCTGCAATGAACAACTTTATACAAGGTCGACGTATGGACATGGTAGCTGCAGTATGCCTATATAGTGCTTGTCGTAAGGCGGATAGGTGTCGCGTCATGCTAATTGATTTCGCTGACAAGATTCAAGTTAAGTCGGTCCGCCTTGTCCTCAAGCTTTACCCTAACAGATCAGGTCAATGTGTTCAAGCTAGGTCGAACTTTCAAGGCTTTACATCGTGCAATAACTATAGCTAAAGACGGTATCATGCCAATTCTTCCAGAGGACCTTATTTGGCGTTTTGCCTCTCTCTTAGACTTTGACACATTTACTAACAAAGTTGCCGACGACGCTATACGAATGGCCCAAAGAATGAGTCTAGATTGGATGCTGATGGGGAGGAGACCTTCAGGCGTCTGTGGTGCCTGCCTAATTCTTGCAGCTCGAATGAACAATTTTCGTCGAACTGTAACTGAAGTGGTCTATGTCGTAAAAGTTACCACAGCTACAATCCAGAAACGGCTGGAAGAGTTCAAATTGACTCCCACCAGCTCCCTCACTGTTGACGAATTTGTTAACAATGAATTTTTGGAGACTGCCCACGACCCCCCTTCCTTTTATAAGAAAACCGAGGAATTTCAAAAAAGCAAAAAACAACGAAAGCGCAAGCGAATGCAGTCTGATGATGATGAGGAAGATGAAGATGAAAACGAGGATGAAAACGAATCAAATCCTAGCAAAATTCAAAAGATAGGCACTGTACCGAGTCTTGTCGATCAAGATCAAGCCTTCACAACTGCTCTTGTCTCTACACCTGTTCTTAGTTTTGACGCAAATGGCTTTCCAATCTCTATAGATCCTATTCATACCGAAGAAGTACCCATTGATCCACAACTAATGGACGAAGTCATTGCTGACCAGTCTAAAACCTCGTTTGAGCAGTTGGTTAAGGAGTTTGGAGACGTCGGAACCTTGCCTGAAGAAGATGTCGACGAGGAAGAAGAGGAAGAAGAAGAAGGAGAGGACGACGATGAAGATGAGGATGAAGCAAAAAATGATGGCTCAACTTTGGTTTCAGAAGTTGTTCCCAAGCGAGGCCGTCCAAAGACGAAAAATCAGGCTGTTCACGTCCCTCCAGAGTGGGCAGCTACCGAAATGACCATGGAAGAAGAAATCACAGAAATGATAAATGATCCCAATACCATCACACATGCAACCCAGTATGCCAAAGCGAGACGTTTAGCTGCAGCACACGTTCTCCTTGCGGAAAAGGCCAATCCACAAAAAGAAGTCAGCATGGATGTCCACGTCGGGGAGGATGAGTTTGCACAGGATCCTGAGGTCCAAAACTGTCTTCTATCCCCAGCCGATGTTGCAATGAAGGAAAAAGTCTGGATCAACGCAAACAAAGATTGGCTCCGCAAACAACAACTAAAGGAGTGGAATAAAAAGCAGGCGGCAAACGATCCTCCAAAGGCCAAGAGAAATCGTAAAAAGAAGCCACGTATGGGTGAAGGCCAGACAAGTGCTGCCAACAGCCCTGCGGAAGCAGCAATTTCGGTCCTTAAACAGCGAAGTTTCTCCAAGAAAATAAATTACGATGCTATCAATGGGTTATTTGCTGACATCGATAAAATGGCAGCGAAGAAAGGCGACGATACCGGTAACAATGGAAACTCTCGAGCTGGCAGCCACATAACAGAGCTGAAGAAGCAGGAGCCATCTGATTTATCAAGGATATCTTCACCTGTCCCTGAGGATGATAAACAATCTATGATTGATCCTAGCCTAGCAGGTGGTCTCCTCTTGCCAAAGAAGATATCCTCAAGAAACAGCGCCTCAGCCAACGCAGCACGTAATCAAAGGCGTGCGGAGCAACAGGCGAGAAGGGCTGAGGAGAGTCCGACCGCTCTCAGCGTGTCTGTAAAAGATTCTACGACTCTGGCAAGTAGCCAGAAAGGTGAAGATGATGACTACGTTGGTCTAGGTGCCACCCAAGATGGCACCACTTTCGAAGAGCCAGTTGAAGGTGGCGAAGTGGAAAGTGATTGGAAATTTCAGCTTAATACAGTTCATAACCCGAATGACTTCAACAACAGTGATGATATTGATGACGAGGATGAAGATTATGGAGACTGGAAGGCAGATCCTGATCCGTTTATCGATGATGATTTAGGTGCGAGAGGATTCGAATCCGATGACAACGTTGACGACTACGACGAATAATGTATAAACGTAAAATTTTGTCTTGTAAATTCAGACTAGTGCTTAGTATTGTCACTGTACTCGAGGTTGAGGTCACTGAAAGTGATTTTAATGATAAAGATTCCATGGAGGCCACATTCAAGTGACAGAAACTGTCATGTCGGAGTCTTGACAGGGAGCACCCTTGTCAACCCAACCCCCGTATTGAGTCTCGGCTTCGCATTCCTAGCTGTAGTCCCGTTTGGTGAAAGCCTCGGATCAAGTCATAACATTGCCACTCGTTGAAGCTAATTCCATTATGGTGCCCTGATCAACCGCATATCAAGTCCCCCCTCACTTCCTAACCTTTTGCGGCAGAATTCGCGTGAAAATTTATCTACTGCCCACAATTTCATTCCCTAACCCAACACCATTTGATTAGACCTCAGCATATTCTACCAGTAATCATGACTCGTCGAAGCAACGCCACAGCAGAAGAGGAGCTAGTTGCGCTTCCAAGTGAAGGTAGCGACGAAGAAGAAGAGTATGTCTCTAAGGTGATGTCTCTTTCACAAATTAAACACATCGATAACAATGGTTTAAACAAAGAAATCAGCAAAAAGATTTGAGCCTGTGATTTGGATAGAAAGGCACCATTACTATTAGAATGAAGCTAACGCGGTCTCTTCAATAATAGGTACGAGGACTCCGAGGATGACAGTGCGGCTCAGGAAGACGACAAAGATGAAAGTGAGAGTGAATCAGAAGATGAAGATCAAGTTACCAAAGGTCTGATAATTTTTTACCACGTCTCCCAGCCGGCTCTACAGCCTCCACAACCATTCCGCTTTACTAAAACCTAGACAGAGGAAATCACGAGTTCCGGAAAGCGTAAGCCCGAGAGTCTGAATGGGCCAGTCGCCACAAAGAAAGCCAAGTCGACCAATGGAAAATTAAAGGAATCCTCCGAACCCAGCGGTCAGTCCAAGAAGAAACAGTTAAGCCACGAAGATAGTGGTGCAAGCGATGATGAAGTTAGTGATTAAGTAGTCTAGAGCTAGAAAGGATGCGCCAACGTATTCTATTTAGGTAAATCGCGTAGACAAAAAATCATTACATGAATGGGGATGCAAGTTTCAGAATACCATCACAATGATAAAGGGAAGGAGCATTCATTTTTTTGGAATTTATTTTAGCAACAACTCTGCTTCGCGCCAACTCTTGCTATTGACAGTCGCCCGGAAGCAAATTCATTAGTCTTGGAACTCGTACCCATATGGTATGGTCGCCGAGTAACAATAACCTTACGCATCATAACCATCACATTTCTTGTCTAGACTCTCTCATCCCCCAACCACTCGTTTGGAGGCGAGGTTGTCAAATCGGAATTCATGATTGCATGGAAGACTATTTTCTGATGAGTCTGACTCCTAGCAGTCGGAGAATTAGCTTGAAATTCAAGCGCTACATTATCTGCGTCGTCTCCCACTTGCATTTCGAGCCGGGATATCAGATGTTGGATAGAGACTCTTTCAAACAATATAAACCCTACTTATGGCAATGTTTGAGATGATCAGATAGGATGTTCATGATTAATCAGCCTTTTTAATTTCTCGAGAATCCTACATCCAGAGACTATTCGCATAAAAGGTTCACGTGTAATTTATTAATATTCCGTCATAGTCGGGATACGCGCGAGTCGAGATAAAATAACTGATCAAGTGATTCACTGATTTGGGGGAATCGAGCTATGGATAGTCTTGCTCCTTTGAACATTTTTGGTAGATTAGTATATGATGTGTCCAAGAACTATTCCCCCAGCTTGATAAACAGTCTTCTCATTTCCACACGCCTGTAGTGATCTGGGGTCTCATGTGGATGAGGAAAAAGCCAAGAGACTGGATGAGACTAAAGCTATCTGTGCCTGTGAGAGGTCATAGCTTCGTCAGCATTTTAGGGAAACTTAACACGTGAAGTTCTGGCTACTTCAGGCTCACAAAACTAGGCAATCCTAAGGCCAATTGACAAAGACGAAATTTTCACCTTCCAGCTGTACAGGTGTGATCGCTCAGTATGCTCAACATGTCTGGGATAGCAAAGAAGAATCGCATCAGAAGCAAAGCTGAAAGCATACCAAGAACACCTCAAATTGATGACTTCTCATCAATATCTGGCGAAGAATTCTCTTACGGGTCTTTGGGCTTAACCTTGCTACATGCCACCCTATCCCAACGATCGTTCGGAAAAGGTGGCCGAATTCCACGGTTAAATTCTGAGCTGAATGGCTATTCATTACGGGCAACATATCTATGATCCCTCAAGTAACAAAAGAGGCAAGGTACGTGGTAACCGACCCATTACTTGGGCCACCATCACATATGCTATACGCTAAGTCAGTGTTTGGCGGGGATGATATTGATCTAGAGGTATTCCCTGAAAGTAGTTATTTAAATCAACACGCTCTAGAACCTCGATGACGGACATGCTTTTACGCTATTTCGGGCCCCACCACCTTTCATACAGCAAACAACATCAGCTGTTCACCACCTTCGCCCTAAATTGATGCTATCATGTACCATCTAAGATTTAATACTGTCATATACATATCTAACTCAAGCATGCCGCCTCAGTCCTCCGCAGAGGCTGGCCCTTGCCCCCCCTTCCACCCGTGAATTCAATGCCTCCTGATGTCGAAATGGTCCTTATAGGGCCATCGAACTATCCCATCAGCACACATATAAACGCAGAGCCGATTTGCGAGGCGAGCTGCCGATACTTGTCCACAAAATCCACCGACTTATTGGATGTTAACTTGACTGACTCCCTCGCAGATGAAGCGAGGGCTTTTAACTTACGCTTCACAGAGGCTGAGCGTCTTGTCCGTGGGTACATCGATCTACTGGCCAGCACCACCGAACATCAGCTCCGACGAGCTGTTGAGAAGAATGGAGAGGCCTTACAGGCTATGATAGCAGGCATTATGCGCAAAAATCCCAGCCGGCCCAGATCCAGCGGGCTATCAGAGGTTACCAGTGGCAGCATTACGACGCCCCTTCCCGCGCCGTCTACTGAGTTGGAAGGAAAGGATTACGCGTGCACTCCATGACAAGTGCTGCTCCTCGCGAGAGAAAGTAGCAGCCAGGCAAAAGGCAAAGAGCCAGCTTCGACAAAGTCCATTAGGCTAAACGAAGATGATCAAATATCGAATTCCAACACTACGGGGAGATCCTGGACTCAGTTAGTGAAGAAATAGGTAGAACCTGCATATCCAGTAGCGAAAAAATCGCTACCAGCCAACGAGCCTCAGTCAAAAGCAACGGGGCCTACACAAAGGCCAAGGCCCAATGCCTCGGCTCCCAAACCAGCCCGCCTAGACGAGCGTGTGGCCGGCAAAGACGAATTCTTCACCTTTCAGTGGTGCCGATGTAATGGCTCAGTATGCTCTGCATATCTGGGATAGCCAAGAAGAATCGCATCCGAATCGAAGTCGAAAGCAAACTCAAGCACATCCCCATTTGACGACTTCTCGACATTGCCTCTCTTATCATTCTTATCTGAGTCCTCAACTTCTCTCTAACCACGCATCATCTCGCCTCCACGACCAATAAAGAATTTGATCCAATTGCAAATAGGAGCTTGCCCCATTAATTTTCAGCCATGTCTCACTACATATTTACGACGCTATTTATACCCGCAAGGAGGAATCAAGTCGACAAATACAAAGCCTGGGTCTTGGCTTATGGGGGACTGTTACTCTAATGGGACAAACAACTTGAGGAAGAACAGGCACCTGAGATGTGGAGCGGGAGGGGGAACAGGCCTCTGAAGACCATGCTGGGACCGATATTTTCGAGGGGCTTTCAATTTTGGATTTTTTGTGGGCGCCAAGACCAAGATTTCGGCTAATTAGCCAGGAGAACCTCTATTGTCGATGAGTCAACGGCACTCCCCAGCGCCCTGGACGGTACAAAAGAAGTTAAGATAAGCTATCATATAGCAATCACACTCTGTCAAAAATTTTCTGATATTTCGCCACGACCTTCGGGAAGGAGGCTAGAAGGCAGAGTGTGAATTTCCCGAGGTGCACATAAATCTGAAGCGCCCAGCTGGCCGGCCTCTTCGAACGCTTCAGAAGGGGCACTATGTCTTCGGATCTAGTCCTAATGTCGTTATTAGAAGAGCCTTGCACCCAGTGGTTTTTGCGACTTTTCCCGGCTGCCATACACCCGCAAATGGCCATCGTTTCGTTAGCTGGAGAGGGGAGATAATGAAGGGCAAAGGGCTCCTCTTAGTGTATGATCGAATGAGGACTTGTGAGGGGCGTTACTATTTGAGGGGAGCTGTATGGGAGGCATAGGAGGGGATATACTACTGGCAAAGGTATCCTTGGCCTGTAGGCAGAGAGGACCTGCATGTCCTACATAGTCATAGACTCAGACAGGACAATAAAATGAATTAATAATAATGATTCAAGTAACAGGGATAAGAAGTTTACCTAGCTCCATCAAACGAATTATCTGACTTACATCTCCAGAAGAGTCCCTCACTCAAGACTTCAACTATTCATAGAGCATTATCTGTTTGACCGGCAATCCTTCATCTACCACGTAAGCTAGGGTGCGTCATTCAGTAAATTTGTTAGACACTGAGGGTCAAATGAAAAATATAAAGTAAACTTGTATTGATGAAATCTCTGCTCCTCAACTCCTCTCCAGCAGTGATGCTATATACCCATCTGAAACTATTTCGAGGAGAGATTGTCTTCTCCTCGTTTCCCAAAATTACATATGAAATATAGAAACAATTTCGTAATATCAAAGAAGTTGGCCCACGAGGCAAATATCAAAATTACTCCTCCACGTCGTTTTTTCGCTTCCAAAGTGTTCGACTCACACCTAAGTCTCTTCAAGCCTACAAGTAAGACCAAGTACATCCTCATTCCAATGACCACACCTCTCGTTGACTTTCTCTGGCCTTAGCTGGTCACCAAATACACGCCCACGCCGATATTTATACCCGACGGAGGAAGTAAAGCGTGGAGCATGAATCTGGGAGGTAGCTCTTTGGAATGGACGTGAGAGGGATCAGGACAAGTTTACAAGATGATGCAGAAGAGGGATACATTCTCGACGGGCGTGAAATTTCGAATTTTGGCAAGAGTTTTACGAATCAAGTTTTGTGCGCGCCAAGACTTCGCTTGCGAGAGTGCAGCTGACACTATAGACACGAGCAAACGATGGATGGTGCTGTGGTCCGACTCCTGGTGGTGTTCTCTGGTATGATTCGAGTAGCCCGGGCACCTACTCCACTTGGGAAGGAGACATCTCAGATTAAATTTCGCGCGGAGAAAAGAAGATGGATTACGGAGGCATGTCTGGATAACTCGGGGTTTTTGAGATATTCCCCTGGGTGGGTATTCACGGATGAGGGTTGACTTGGGGTGAAGAAAAAGCTACCATAACTTCGCAGTGGTACTTGCAAATGAAATCCGAGGCATGAGTGCTCCTCTTGTAAATTGAGTCATCTTTTCTGTACTTTTCTTTGATATTGCGTCATAGCTAGATAGCGGCATACGCAATTAAAATCTGATGCAAAAATAATATGAAATATATTACATGTGTACAAAATCAAAAGATCTCAAGTTGGAGCTTCGACTATCCTGATCACCATAGCCCTGATGAGACATCAAAGCTCGAGTAAGTAAATCCTAGATATCTTATCCCGATATCCAATGATTCTCATTACCTTCTTCAGTAGTTTCTAAGCTATCAGATATTTTACTATATTCAAAGGAATTACCAGGAACGCTAGGCCAGAATTTGCCATGTAGGATTGATGAGGTCTCCATTATAGCAGTTCATAAAAGGTCATGATTCGTGCACACTACCATTTTTTCGGCACTATCTATACATGACTTGTACTTCTAAGACGCAATCCTTACCATGCAATTTCATCTACGGACAAATGAAGTTAGATTCTCTTCTTCGTACTTCCACCATTTCTTGCCAGCCAGTTGTTTGGAAGTCCTGAAAGCGCTTTACCACGATTTAGGGCCTCCTGTCTTTAGTGTCCCTTCACATTGAGAAATATTCGTCGGGTGAATTTGTGACATACAAATTAGCATTCGTTGACCGCAAATCCCTCTATAATTGGTCTCATAGAAGCCGAGAAGAGGATCCAACATACGCTACCGCCATGACTTGTCTAATTGCAATACTCTTGTCCTCAGTTGCGCGCATGGTCGTCATTGGCTCGCGCAATTCTCCAAATTATTATGGAGTGTACACCATATCCAAGATCAACGAGTTTCCAGTGCCACGCGATTCCCATAAGATACACATGTCCGCCAGCAAAATTTCCGGGCCCGGTACCTACGTCGTGGCATATTGTTCCATAAATCTGGAATACCTCGAGATTATGGAGATAATCACAAGAGGACGGCCTGAAGTAACGCATAGCTCTGGAGATGTATCTTCCAGCCATCTCAGAGCAGAAAATGTATGTATGCAATCTATCATCAAAGAAAACTCACTCGGACCTGTTGCCGCAAGTTTGTCGAAGCTCGACAACGGCAAATGTACGCACCAGCTCATAGCAAGTCTAGCCTTCAAAGGGGTTATAGGCGTGGAGGGAGAGTATTCATGTTTTGCTCCGCCGCAGGAGGATCAACCTATCAAAATCAATGCCGACATTCCAATTGTGATGCATGAATTCCTTTCTGGAGGTGTGTTTCTCGGTGGGGAGAACATCGAATCGGATAGACAAGCGCTGGTATGGTTTCAAGGAAATCTACACCGCTTCATGAAAAGCAAGATTGGCATTAATGGATATCACTCATGGAGTCCAGTCACTTTAATCGGCAAGGAGATTAATAATGGCGATTCTATAGCAGAATTCATCTATTATAGTCTGCCCAGTATACGTGAGTTTATATGTGAAATTGAAGATTATGGTATTCTCTTAGAGTTATTGGAAATGTCTTATTTGCCCTGGCAATGGAAATTATCTAGATCCAACTTAGAACAAGGAGGCTATAGCAAGATTTCTGAAATTCTTGACAATAAATGTATGCAAGCTAGTGGTTTCGAAGAAAAATATTGTGGGTGGCTAATTAACGTGCCCGGATATCTTATGAAAAATGCCCGGGATATTGGTCTACTTTGTCGGACAAGAGCAATTGGATGGACTGGATTAAATCGAATGAGAGAGTGCATATTTAGACCTGCAATTGCTCAGAGGAGCTTGTTTTCATCTCGTCAATGGGAGATATATGGACCGGAACAAAAGGCGTTTGAAATTCCATCCCAGTCTAATAGGTCAGAGAATGCTGCGAGATTCACAGAGCTCACTGGAATAGGTACTTTGTGTGAGAATGATTCTTGGTAAAATAGGAAGGGATAAAACACATTTACCTAGTTCGTCAATACCTTGTTAGAAAAGAAGATGATAGAATATGTGAAGCGGCTATGGATCCACGCAAAATCAATGGTAGTAATCGCCAGGTGGAAAAGGTTCGTTTTGAATTGACGTGCAATTTTAAACATACACACGCTCAGACTATTTTAAACATACACACGCTCAGACTATTCATCTGAATCGATGAGAGATACTGTTCAGTAAGTTTGACGAGTAAAAGAATCAATATGGAGTAGATTTCCAACAGTCATGATGTAAGTAGAGATCTTGAGAAATCCTCTGAATCAATTCTTCGAAAGAATGATGAATAGTCCTCTTAACTGAAAGGTTATGCTGAGTGGGTAAGAAGTACCGCTAGAATGACCATGCGGAAAAAGATTGCTACGGTCCTTAGAGGAGAATAGTTCAATAGTTCTACTGTTGGGACTGTGGCTAATAAAAGAACATGAGACTATTCCCAAATTTCTCGGATTTTTCAATGATCCATTGTTGGAAAAGATTCACGTTGTAACTTGTCAATAACAAATGGTTCTATCTCTCTCTCTCTCTTCTAGTAGGATATATTGATATTATGGTACTACAAGAGCGCACAGACCCACATGTTACATAAACAACACACAAATAAAGCATACAGTCTCTTATGGATGGCAAAGGTAAAATTGTCAAAATTACTGGGGTTAGATCCCTGTGCATATTGCCTTAATTGGTATGGTCTTCATGCAGGCCTACATCTAGTTACTCGACTAGTTATGCAAGCATGGGATAGCTTTGAAACATACTAACTCCATACAACTCCAACTCCCCAAGTGACAAAATCACATATCATATACAACCTGTTACTGCCGTAAATACCATTCACTTACTTATGCCGCCCCAGTCCTCCGCAGAGGCTGGCTCTTAGCCCCCCCTTCCACCCGTTAATTCGACGCGTCCTGACGTCGAAATGGTCCTTACAGGGCCACCCAACCATCCAAGTATTATACAAACAAACGCGGAGCCTATCTGCAAGGCGAGCTGCCAATACTCGCCCCAAACCAAACCGAGTCATTAGGTGTCACTATGACTAACTTCCTTGCAGATGAAGCGAGGGCCTTTAATTTACGCTTCGCAGAGATTGAGCGTATTGTCAGTGGGTATATTAACCGACTGGCTGGTACAACCAACAAACAGCTCTGACGCGCTGTCGGAAAGAATGGAGAGGCTTTACAGGCCATTATTACAAACATCCTGCGCGGAAACCCCCAGCCCCTATCTAGTGGGCCATCAAAGGCTGCCAGTAGTAGCAAGACAACAACCCTTCCGCCACCGGCTATAAAGCCAGAAGGAAAGAATAACGCAAGCACTTCACGACCAGTGCAAATACTCACGAGAGAAAGCAGCCAGGCGAAAGGCAAAGAGCCGGCTTCGACAAAACCTACCAGGCAAGTCGAAGGCGACGAGCCCAATAATACCAACACCACTGAGAGATCCTAGACTCAGGTGGTCAGGAAAAAGCCAAAGCCTGTACAACAAGTGGCATCAACATCGACAATAGTCAATGGGTCCCAGTCAAAAGCAGCTGGGCCTACACAAGCGCCAAAGCCAAATACCCCCGCTTCCAAGCCGGCCTGCCCTGACGAACGTGTGTTCCTGCGGGTCAAGCCCGACCACCCGTGGAGACGCATGTCTTCTCACTACATAAAAATAAGCCTCGTAAGCAAGCTTCGCTTGGCTAACTCTGCAACCAAGCAGGTCACTGTCGTCAACTCAGGGTTCGCGATACAAGCTGAAGGAGATGCAGCAAGAAACGCGCTCCTCTCGGGTGCCGTGCTCTTGGAGAGCACGGAAATGAAACTGGAAGCTGCTTCCATCTGGATCTCTGTGCTAGCTCCAAATGTACCTGACAGGCTCTACACTCTAGAGGGACCAACGCTAGTCACACCGGAGATGGTGATGGAAAAAGCGACTTTAAAGACGGGCATAAGACCGACCTCGGCTCGTGAGTTCGCGACAAGCATGGCAAGGCCATCAACCAACTGGGTGCTGCATTCTGCAACCGGTAAGCCAAAACTAGGTGAGCGACTTTTCGAAGAGAGTAGTTGCCTACACGAGCTCCAGCGCAAGGCCAAAATTGCGCAATGCAACCGATGCTGGGGACATCACCCAACAAAGATTTGCTCACGAGCGGAGCGATGCTCACGATGTGGATCGATCGAGCATAAAGCATCTGTCTGTAAGCAGACCATCCCAAGGTGCATGAACTGCCACGGGCCACATGCAGCCATCGAACCTTACTGCATGGCTAGGCCAACCCGGGTTGGCGGCGAAACTGTGCAGCGAACTAAAGACCAGCTATTGGTTATACGTGAGCAAGGTCAGAAGGAACGGAACGCTTCAATCCGAGAGATGGAAGCAAAGCAGAAAGCCGCCGAGGCGACTGCCGAAAACGTAACTACAAACGAAACTCAATGCCCGTAAGTGTCATGTAGAGACATGATTCATTCATGAGATGATATTGTTCAGACGATCATGACTATATCACAACGTCATGTACAGACACGATTCATTGTTTGTACCTGTTGAATCAACCATGAATATGTCTCAGTGGTAGGAGAAACATCATTGACTAGTTACTAGAAACCTAGTCAAGATCCTAAACACATAACTGGGACTAGGAGAATTTTACTGAGTAAGTAATTATTCTGATGAATCTAGATCTGGAGGAACATAATCTGGTTGCTTGGCTCGAGGAATATGAGCCTGAGCATATCATGTATTATAAACTATATAAAAATCTATCTCAATCACAAATCATCATCTTAATTCATGTCACCATCAATAGCTGTAAAGGACAGTTTAACCAATCCTTATAGTAAGGGACCACAACCTTACCGAGCTCCACATCACGGCAACTAAGATTTTGTTCCTCTATGCTAATTTGGGCAGAGGAGACCCCGCGACGGACATCATCCTGCAATCCGCTTGGGATTCAGGAACCGATGTCCTACTTATCCAGGAACCCTGGACCTAGCAAAAGGACGGCTTCTGGCTCACCAAGTCGCATCCCGGATTAGATAGGCATCTGCCTCCCAGTGTTGCTGCCAACTCTTCAAGGTCACGCTCCCTCATCTACACGCGAAAAGGGATCAATTGTCAACAGCAAGTAATCTGTGAGATATCACCAGATCTCACCGCAGTAATGGTAGAAGGAGTCACATTTGTCTCCGTCTACTGCGCTCCTGGAGTAGACTTTTTGCCGCTACTATCATGGGCTCCATCTGGGCCTACAGTCATTGGCGGAGATTTTAATGCCGTTCACACCGACTGGCAGCCAATGGCCACTAGGCTACACGGCGATGGCCAGGTGCTCACCGAGTGGATGTTCGAGCACGGTATGGACCTATCTTCCGCACCGGGCGTCCCGACCCACAATCTCAGAAACACACTCGACCTAGTTTGGTCTAACGCTGGCGCACTTGAAGATGTTTCAGTAGAGCTTGACTCGACATCGGATCACAGAACTCTTGCAGGAGACGTTCCTCGACCAAACTCGACAGCCAGAGCTGTAATCAAAACTGGTCAACTGTTCCGAGTGACAGACGACACCCTCGAAGACTTTGCCAAGGTGCTTAGTAGATGGGCTCATGGAATAGAGCTACAGCCAATGGATTCAACAAGTGCGGTAGAAAACCTTGCGGATAAGCTGGTTCAGACCATTAGCGATGCAATCAGGGCTACTGGAAGACGCGGGAGTGCTAGAAAGGGTAGGACGGCACCTTGGTGGACGTTGGAGTGCTCACAGGCCAAACGCAAATACAGGACATTCAGGGACGAAGAGAGCAGAAAGTATTTCCGTCGCATAGTCAAAAGTGCGAAACGCCAATACTGGCAACGAAAGCTCTCCGAAGTCACAACTGACGTCAACATGTATCAGATGGCACAATGGGCAAAGCCGCATCATACATCCGCTACTCCACCACTTCAAACTCTCGACAGTTTTGTTTCGGACCCAGGAAAGCGTGCACTTCTGTTGCGCGACCTCCTCCTCGGCCGGTTCACCAGCCAAAACGACATCGAAGCTGAGAAACTCGAGCCAGGACTCGGAAACCTTCCATGGGTCTCAAGCGTCACGGACAAAGAAGCCAGGTGGGTCACAACAGCCTGCCAAAATAAAGTTCCCGGAGCAGACGTAATTTCTGTGCGGCTTCTTAGGACAGCCTGGCCGTCAACTGGTCACGCAGTGAGAGTACTCTATGAGGGCTCACTTCGACTGAACCACTTCCCGAAGGCATTCAAGCTAGCGGAAGTAATTCTTCTCCCCAAACCTGGCCGCAATCTCAGTACAGCTAAAGGATGGAGACCTATCGCACTGCTATCCTCTCTCGGCGAAGGTCTTGTGAGACTAGTTGCAAGGCGAATGGCTTACACCGCCATTTCGTGCAAGGCCGTGCCGCAGCAGCTTTTTGGAGCACTCTCCGGCAGATCCGCTAATGACCTCGTCTCATGCGTTATCCACGACGTGGAACATGCAATGAAGAGGCAGAAGAAAGCAGTCCTTGTCACTCTGGATATACAGGGGGCATTCGACGCTGTACTACACGGAAGGCTGCTGCAGAGGATGAACAAAGCTGGGTGGCCGAAACCAGGTTTCACTTGGATAAGTTCTTTCCTGAAAGAACAATCTGCCCGCGTCAGACACGGGGACGGAGTAATAGACCCAATTCACCTAGAATGCGGGCTGCCACAAGGATCGCCTTTATCCCCAATTCTCTTCCTCCTCTACATGGCCGAAGTCGTGGGGGGCAGCAGTTGGAGACTTGGTGTGTGAACTGGCTCACAACATGTTATGTACAAGGGTCTAGTTGAGACTTTTCCTTATAGGGAATAGCGTTTAGCTAAAGGTAACAATGTATTTATAGAATTCCTCCCGGCAGGGAGAAGAAGCAGGAATGAATTGAGTAACCCCACACAAGCTTGTGAATTGACCATTG